TTGGACGGCAAAATCCCAATGGTGATGCCCTGCTATGAAAGGCAGCTAGTGGCAGACCAAGAAGAGCTGCTGAGAGAGATAGAAGATCTGCGCTCAGAAAACGATTACCTCAAGGTAAATGGCTGGAGGCAGGAGGGAGGGGGAAGTCTGGGCCTGAAAGGGGAGGGGGGCTGGAGACATAGACTAGTTGCTGGGAAAAGGCCACCTTTTTTAAAATGAAGGAACTCCCTAAGCCAATTATTCAAGCCATCCAATTGTATTTGGACACCAGAAGTTCCAGTATTTCCCCCTTGCTCATAGGACATTGCCCTTCCTTGCTTTGAAGTCAACAGTCCTGTGTCTGTGGAGATTCTCAGTCCTCCAGGTCATGGTTGTCCCAAAGGTGCTTTTTCAAGAGACAGCTGGACTTTCTAGTGCAGTTGCCTCTTAAAAAAACACCTTTGGGACAACAATTCTGTGCCAATCCTTTGCTTTATGGAAAATAAGGTTTTTGTGTTGAAGTCCCTACAGAGCCATGATTTGAACATGGATGCATAATTCTTCACCAATGCTTTCACCTTATTTATTCTACAGAAGAAAGGCATTTGAAGCTGACAGATCCACAGTGTTTTCCTATTGCAGATATTGTATTTATTTACTTATAAACCTAGATACTCTTTCATCCAGGAATTCAGGGTGATATGCATAGAGCTCCTTTCTTCTGTTTTTCCCTACAACATTTTGACCAAATCACTGGTTGTGCTTTTTTTTGTGTCTGAGGTGAATTAGAACCTGGCTTTCCCCACTGCTACTCTGTTACTTTAATGAATAAACATCCTGACATTATTTGGTTTGGTGCAACTGAAATTGGATCACATCAAACTTTTTTTACATAAAGACATGCAAACTTCTTTAAAGTGTCGCTTGAATTCTGAAACAGCTTTGCACTTCCCAACTGGTGCCTTCCAGAGTTGTTGGATTTCATAGTAGCTGAGCTGAGAATTATTGGGGTTGAAATCTGATGTACCTGGAGATACCAGTTTGGAGAAACCTTCTTTAGAATCATGCAGATGAATAGAGAAAGGCTTGGATTTTCTTTATGAACCATTTTAATTCCAGAAAAAAGAAACACTGTAGATAAGAGTTTGAAGAAATAGAATTGTTGATGAATATGTTTATGTGGGCAAAGGAAAATGGCTTTTTGAGAAGTAAGATAGGCTATCAATCTATCTCAGTGATAGGGTTAGGCATTGGTACTTGAACTTTGCAAGGGGGATTGAGAGTATGAGATTAAGTATAAGAAATGTCGGTTTCTTCAAATTCTGCTCTGAATTGTTACAGGAGTTCAGACAGAGTTGTTTAAGAAAACAGACATCTGACTACTATATAGTTTCATGGTTTATCATTTATGAAAATTGCATGTTTACTTAAGAGAAATTCCAATGAAACTCCTTGATGTGCCTAGAATTGCCACCTAATTCAAGTTTCTTATGTACAGATTCAGTCTCAGATGGTTCATAATTCCATCAAAGTATTTTTACTAGAAGTGAGTTATCAGTTATGTCAATGTAAAACAACCTCTTGTTTTGTTTTGAAATTCAAGTTGCATATTCCAAGCTTGTCTTGTATTTTACTTATACAGTAATACAATTTACCCATCAGCATACAGTATAAACAAGGCCTGTTGACGTCAGTGAAATAGAAATGAGAGCTGTATATAATTGCACTGAAGTTTTAAATTCTTGTTTATTACTGAAGTTTTAATTATTTATTAGTATGGTATCAATCATCTTTTTCCAGGTGATTCAATACAGTAGCATAATAGAAATGGCAGTTAAAGGCAATACTGTACTAAGTCTCTTGGCCTTCCACAAAAGGGGCAAAACCTGGCTATGTAGCCTTGTGTGGGGTCTGTGTTAATAACTCCTAGGCTCCCCATATTGGAACACTCTATTTTTTTGTAATTTTATAATGTTATTTTGTATTTTTTTTAAAAAAATAATCTTAAATTATTCAGTTTATGTTTTATTATATTAATTAAATTGTAGACTGCCCAGAGCCCCTCTATGAGAGAGATAGGCAGTAAAGAAGTTTGATTGATTGATTAATTGATTGATTGATAAATAAATAAATAAATAACACCTAATTTATATGGATTGGTTAAGAAGTTTGATAGAAAGAAAAAAAGAAAGGAAGGAAGGAAGGAAGGATGGATGGATGGAAGGATTTACATGGATTGTTTGCGTGATTATTTTTCATATCTATGTTAGTACTTTATTATTTTACTATTTAGATAATTTTATTTTTGCCATTTAAGAACATTTCATAAACCATTGTTTATGAAAGAACTGACAGCTGAGAGCAACACATAACTGAAAGACTTTCTGAATGTAGAATTGTCAACATTTTTATATTATGTCATATAACAGCTGCTTGGCATCAAACAGCAAAGGCTTTTCCTGCTATGGGTATTAAATGATAGGAAATTTGCCTCAGCTAAATGTCTGCCTTCCAGGCAGCTGATAAAGAGACAGAAATTCCAACAGAAAAAGGGTGATAATCCTGCCTCAGTGTATGTTGTTTTTTGCAAGCCTTTTTCAGTGCCTGTGTTGTTATGATATCCTATCCAGAAATAAATGGGATGTGGATCAGGAAGTTAGAAAAGGAAATTCTCAGGTTTTCTTAACCCATGAAATCTTACATATGCATTTGTTTCAACGCGCCTCTGTGTGTGTGTGTGTGTGTGTGTGTGTATCCTACCGTATGTCATATGCTGACCACCACATCATAAATGATAGAAGCAAAAATTGTTCAAGCTATGAAAACAAATAATCCAGGTGAAAATATGTAGTCTTTTGTTTCACAAAAAAAAATAGTTAGTTTGAGTCCTGGAATAAGTTTTGTTAAAGGTGAGGACTGTGCACCATAATGAGAGGCACAACAATTATTGAACACAAATTGATTGGCAAGATGAACCATTTAGGAAGATCTTTACAAACAGAATATATTAGTTAAAGGGTTGGGATTAAGAATTCCAGAATTAAGGAGTATGTCAAGTATATGTGATTTTCTTTAGATGTACTTACAAACTATATATTAAATAAATGAGTCTATGACTATAACCTCCTCCAAATTCCATCCACTGGCCAATGCCGACTGGCGACCACCCGGAGGAGGGCCTTCCCTGTGGCTGCTCCGGCCCTCTGGAACGAGCTCCCCGTGGAGATTCGAACCCTCACCACCCTCCAGGCTTTCCTC